TACATTCGAAGACGGCGGAGAACTTCAGGCTAGACTGGACCCAATATCGGGACCATTGGATCAAGATAAAGGAGCACCAGCAAGCAGCTTATCAACGCCGTATGGGATCAGATGCTCATCGTCCTACTATAAAAGTTGGTGATCTGGTTCTGGTATACGTTCCCTCTGGTTCTAAAATGTCTCTGCCTAATTTCTGCGGTCCGTATCGAGTCACCGAACATGTCTCTCCAAGCTTATGCCGTATAGATTCTGCCAACATGGGAGGGCATTCGTCTTTGAAGGATATAAGTCCTCTACAGCTGTATGGTAACTGCGTTCGTTATATACCACGTGAACCTGATCCGCACGTCCAAGATTGGATCTGTTGTACACGTTGCCGAGCCTGGCATAAAGCTGACGCGATCATGTGTGCTCGCTTTCGCCGCTCGAATGCAGTCTTCACGTGCCGAACGATTGGTGCCCGTTGCCTACCTGTTCGTCAGCGCCCTTCTACTGTTGGTGGGGACGACTAGGGTGAGACCCTAGTGAATCAACAGACCTTATTATCTATTTATTCATCAGCACCTGTAGTGCCCACCCCTTTAGAGGGTCTTCTTATTTCATTTGCACGCATAGTGCTCACCCCTGTAGCGGGTTATCTATTTCGTTGGCACTGCGGTGCCTCCTTCTGTCGTTAATAGGGCGGTGGCCCAGTGTCACTCCGTGAATGCGTTGAGATATGCCAAGATTGCAAGATACAAGCATATGAGATTAGCTATTTTGGTATGAGCATTTACTATTAGCCCATTACGTCATGTCAGCTACGTCTGGAGTTGTATCAGTGGGAGATCAGGATGAGGTTGCTGAGGTGTCTGATCCTCTCCCGCCTGCCACTGTCCACGGGGAAACCTGTCACATGAGGAGTAGAGAAGTTAGCTCGTTTCACTTAATCACGTTCTTAAGGATTCACTTGAGATAACAGTGAAACTCGACGACCGACGGTTTCACGCTGGTCTCAATGCGAAAAGAGCAACGCAGCGCAACCACTCCAAAACGCATAAACATATGGATAAATGTCGGGAAAAGTGCCTCATTTGAGGTTTGAACTTGTGCCTTTGTGTCCGCGTGCCAATATAACCGTTAGATTCCCCATTGCCCCACGGTTGCCATTCCTTGGAATATCATATCCGCTCTTGGATGTACTACGCTGGTCTCTGGCCAGCCCGCTATCTATAACCTACTAGTATGGCTCCAGTCGTGGTCTTACTTGGCAAGGATATCACATTAAGATTTTAGTTAACGACGTTAAGCTAACGCTGATCCCTGGATTAATTTTTTGCACTCGAGACAGAGCGAGATGAGAGTTCCAACCTAAAGATTCGTCATTCTTGAGAAGTTACTGAAAGATGCCCTCTTATAATAGCTTGCTAGGATCCCGAGCTCGAACCGCACACCTGTCACGTTGACAGGGCGTGAATCTTCACGAAGTAGTTGGCAGTGACAACTTTTCCGGAACCTCGAATTGGACAACACTGTCAGGTTCGGTGATGAGCAAGGGACCTTTGCCGTTGTTAGAATGAGGAAAGTAATTAATGTCGGTGCTCCCTCCCAGGAACCAGATGCTTCCTGTCGTGTAAGATCTTAGCACGCATGCGCATGAGACTTGGGCTGTTGACCCCGTCGAGGACTCCCCGAGTTCGAGGACACAGGATTATCCTGCGAAAATAGGAACACAAGCAGACTCGTTGATGCTCTGCAGAGGAGAAGCACAGCAGAAAACTACATTGAAATTTCCACGATTATTGACATGCGAATCGCGAATTTTTCTACCTTGGCACGCGTGCACGCAGCTGAAGTGACGCAAGCAGCGGGATCTCATACGTTATTGCACTTGCGTGCTCTACCAAATCTACAGCTTATAGGTATAGCAGGTTATAGTTGGTCGTTGTTGCTTGCTGTTTTCACCTCTGACACAGTATCTAACCGCTTGTAGTAAGGCCCCTCAGGATGGTGTTAACTAATTTGAGCACTAGAATCGCCACTCAGTTCATATGGCTGCTTTCTCTGCTATGAGGTTTCTCAGCAACGTCGCGTACATATGGGCGATCCTCGGGGCCTTGACGGTCTCTTCAGCGTGTGAAGTAGGGCAGCTCTGACTTGGGTGTTTGAAATCGCCACCTTCTCTTCAGAATGCATGCCACAACGTTTGCCAGGCGATCAACGGATGCGGGCGTGTGGGTTCTCGTTGTCAGGACGAACTACCGCCACCTCATTCCTGTGAAGATCTGTACGTTAGTATTGTCCGTTTCTCACTGTAGTTTGATGTAATCAGTTACGTGGAGAGGACCAACATCGATGGAGATGCCAAGATTTGCTCTGTTCGGGCAGGGCAGTGCTCATCGCAGGACAAACAGCCACTACAGTGTCTAGACATCTCCCCATGTAAGCCAAGCCTCGCTACGTATCACTCAGCGCAACCTCTCAGTTGACCCCGAGACCCCACCGAAGTATCCCATCAAGGCCAAGAGTGTGCTGGAGCCCCGCGGTAGTGGAGCTCCACGACGTGGCGCAAGGATAACCCGCGGAATATTCTATTACACTCAGCATGGACCAGCGAATACCACTATCACTTACGAGATCACCGGTCTCGATCCCCATTCTAGTCACGGTATTCATATTCATCGCACTGCCGAATTTCGATATAACGGATGTAACTCAGCGGGGGGAACCTACAACCCCTACCGTTATCAACACGGGGCTCCCGATGGTCACATAAGGCACCTCGGAACTCTCGGTAATGTTATCGCTGATGCCTCGGGTGTCGCTAAGGGCTCATTCACTAGCAAGATAATCAAGCTAGAGGGAGCATTCTCGGTCCTGCATCGTTCAACAATGGTGCACGCCTACCCCGATGATTTTCGAGACGAAGAAAGTTCGGGTCCTCGCCTGGCTTGCGGGGAGATT